TTCACTTTATGCAGTGCATAGTTAATAAAAATGAGCGTTAAGTACTACAGTTTTATGATTGTTGTAACAAGACTGGTATTCTGCCAGCGCTATTATCTACTGTCAAAGTTAGCAAATGGTGTTTACAGCTATCATACCCACGAACAGCAGTGGTAATAACTATTGTGAGGCATAGGAGAAATCTTTGTGTATCTGATAAATGACTGCACAAACTCTCTGATTAAAGTAGCTGAAGGTCAATCTGGACATAGCAATGACAACCACATTTTTTTCATTTGTGTTTGCCCCACAAACATGCTCTTTCTGTAATTTCTTTCTTTGAAAGGGGCATATGGGTGAGGGGAGTTGAGTCTTCTTCCTCACCACCACTTTCCATCTGGTTGCCTGAGCACCTTCCCTCCCTCTGACAAGCTCCAAAATAGAAAATGAGTTAGATAAAAAGTGCTTGGCTGATGGAATACATCAGATGGGGGAAATATGTCGTCCTCCAGCTGCTGTTGGTCTTCAGTTCCATTCAGTCCCAGCCAGCATCACCAATGGCCAGATATGATGGGAGCTGTAGTATACCATAGCATGAGGGCCATAGTTTCCCCATCCTTAGATACACTCCATGGGCAGCAGGCCCTTGACAGAACATCTGCTTTGCATGCAGATTGCCCCAGGTTCAAGCCCAGTATCTCCAGTAGGGCTGGGAGAGACTTCTGGCCTGAAACCCCAGAGAGCTTCTGCTCTGAACTGCTGACCCAAAGGAGGGATCATGGGAGTGGTTGGTCCAAGGATACCAAAGGAGGATGTCCAAAACACCAGGTCTCCCAGCCTTTACAGACATGGGGATGGACACAACAGCAAGGATATGGCTTGTCTGCACCCAAGCAAACATCCATACACTCTTTATACACAAAGCAGCGTATGTCACTTCGGTCAGGATGTCCCATCACTTCACCTGACCAGATGAGCGCACAGGTGGAGTAGCTCCAAAACAGATCATGTGGCTTCCCAAAGCTACAGAAGTGATTTTTGCACATCAGGACTAGTTTATTTGAATCTTATCAGCTGGTACATACCTAACTGCAAACATCAGTTGGTCCTAGGAGGCTTATCTGGTGTGATAATAACAACAGCAACATGTATGTCTACCTTTCATTTTCATTTCCTGCTATGTACCCAATGTGAAGTTCATCCAAAATGTTGGGGGAAATTAAAATGGCAGCTAAATCCATTTGTCCATTGATGCTTGGAGTAGCTGGGGTAAAATAAAGTGAAGCTAGGCTCAAGGCAGATGTCAAGGATGGGCCATGCCATGGTACTGCAGTTCTGACAGCTGCTTCAAGATGCTTGGTGCTGATTTTGATCAACAAAGTGGTTGAGTTATATGCAGTTTATAGGGCTGTTTATTTATTTTATTTATCATTATTTATTATTAAAATTGTATACTGCCCCATACACGGTCTCATAAAATCACAATATTAAAATGCTTAATGTTTGAATGAAGATTCATCCATGCTTCCCTTCCATGCCAGGCAGTCCTTTAGGAAGACCATACTTCCTGTGATCATACTAAAGTATTTCAGAATACAGAAGAGATCACACTCTCCTTTCAAACTACCCACATAATTTCATCCTGTTATTCTAATAGTCAATACCACACAAGCGTTGGTCATACACAAGACTCACATTCCAGGCATATGCAGCTGTTGTTCTAGAAGCTAACCTCTGGTAATAGTTTAAATGTAGTCTAATAGCTATGAAGGACAGTAAAAAAGCATCTAGTTTAACTCTATTCTCTAAGCCAGGGGATAGAATAAAAGACTTATCTAGCACCAGCAGGGAAGTTGAAGACATCCAGATGTTGCTTTGAGACAATTTCAACACTCAGCTCTGTAAGATCAGCAATTACCGTATTTTTTGCACCATAACACTCACTTTTTTCCTCCTAGAAAGTAAGGGGAAATGTCTGTGCGTGTTATGGAGGGAATGCCTACGGGTGGCGGGGGGGATCTGCTGCAGTCGTGAGCAGAGGATCCATGGTTCCCCTTCCTTCCCTCCTCCGTGGCTCGCTTTGAAACAGCAAAGTGGGAGAAGAGCCGCTGAGTGGGGAGGAGAGAGGGACAGAGAGCCTGCTTCTTTAAAGGAGCAAAGGTTCCTTTAAAGCAAGCAGGCTCTCTGTCCCTCTCTCCTCCCCACTCAGCTCGCTACATAGCAGCAAAGTTTTTCAGCTCGCTAAGCCGGGGATGAGCGGGGAGGAGGAAGAAAAGCAGAGCCTGCTTGCTTTAAAGGAGCAAAGTGGGAGAGGAGAGGAGCCTTCTCCCCTTATACCCCTCTTCTTCATTATTAGCAGCATCCTTCTCCACCCACCCCACACGTGCTTCTTCTCCCCTTAAACCCCTCTTCTGCATTATTAGCAGCATCCTTCTCCACCCACCCCAGGCGTGCTGCTTCTCCCCTTATACCCCTCTTTTTCATTATTAGCAGCATCCTTCTCCACCCACCCCACGTGTGCTCCTTGTCCCTTGAGTGCTTTTCCTTCCTCCCCACTTAAAACGTGGTTACAAAACACGGATCCACATGGATCCTCAGGATTTTTGCACTGGGTCACCCCAAATTCACCATCAGATCACATAGCATGTCCATGGCTACATCTTGCACCAAAAAAATCACGCATCCACTGTTGCCTGGGGCCGCAGTAGTGCAAAAACATGGTTACAAAGCATGGATCCACATAGATCCTCAGGGTTTTTGCATTGGGCTACTCCAAACTCACTGTCAGATCACATGTCTGTGGACACAGCATGAACCACAAAAATCATACATCCACTGTTTCGTTTAGAATATTTTTTTTCTTGTTTTCCTCCTCTAAAAACTACGTGCATGTTATGGTCGGGTGCGTGTTATAGAGCGAAAAATACGGTAATTCTATGGCTTCCATAAGAAGTACAGATCTGCTGCGTAAGAACTTTGGTCCTAACATATGTGGTATACTTGATTTATTATTTTTTATAGGGACAGGAAACAAAATTGTGTATTAAAAAGATATTGTAAAAGTGAAGGATAACTTTTGTAGTGGAGAGATTGAAGTTGCTGAGGCTGGGGTCACTAGCATGGGATCTTCATTAAAAGTTATAATCTGAAACTGTTTAGAACGTCTGTGGAAAAAGTCTGTCTAGTATTTCCCCTCCCCCCTCCCCAATTACAATCATATGCCATATTTTGCCACCCTTTTTGCTAGCGGGTACTGGAGGATTGCCTGCTTATTATAATTAATAAATAAATATATTAGTATCACACACCTCTCTTTTATCAGAAGCTCCACAGCTTAATTGGAGACTGGCACAAAGCTCACCAAGGCATTGGTGTGGAATCTATTTTCAGTTCCTAGCTAAGCCTTGTAAGGTGTACAAAAACAATGCAGAAAAAAATGCATTTTTTCCTCATGAGTCAGTAACCACTACCAGGCACAACTTATCTAGAATTAGGGGAAACGTTGAAAGCAGTGTGTGAAACTTCCATCAGGGATCGCTGAGTATCTATGAAATTAGTTGTGTTTATTTTATGTTACAGACATCTCCTTTGCTATTCTATTTTTAAAAATTCATTTATATCTCTCACCTTTCTTCCATCAACCCATGTCATTCTCAGGAGTCATCCATCTTGTCACTGATGAGACCTTAGCTTAATCAAGATAGTAGTTTCTCACATGTGCGCTCATATCATACGGTTGGATATCAATACGGATTAGGATTCTTTGAAGATAATGTACGTGACCAAGATGTTTTTACATTCTGATGGTTCATCATGGTGTAGGGAACAGAATGCTCTATTGGTACTGTACACGGGGGCCCAGATTTAAATTCCAACACAATAATTTCATGTGTTATTCCTTAGCACCCCTTTCTCCCTTCTCTTTTTTATGAAAGTAATATATGCAGTTCAGGTATTGTGTGTGTGTGTGTGTGGAGATACAGTAGGTTAGGCTGGCTGTGTTTCTGTTACAGTACAAGGAACAAAGATTGACTGATTTATTATGGCACAAGTTTTCCATCACATGCATGAAGTTTCATCTCGTCTCTCTATCTCTCGCTCCCACACACATGGAGGGCTAACAAAAGTAAAGAAAATGTGGCAAATCAAAGAAAGTTTAAGCAAATGAACCGCAGTGATAATTCACCACAGCAGAAACTGGTGATAAAGGCAATCATTCTAGGGCTGCTAGGTTAATGAGCATCAGTCGCATGGCAGGAAAGCATTGTCTCTATCATGCCTAAACAGATCGGCTCAAACTCCTCCATAAGTTCCAATTCAGCACTTTCAACTTGTGAAATATCTTTTTGTTGCTGGAATACTGCAATATCCAGGTCGGGAGTGGGGTGTCCTCGCAGAGGGACCCTGTTGAATTCCCGCCTGTGCTGTGAGGCACCAGGATCCCTGTGCCAGTGAAGGTCTGAAGAGAGGTCTGAGCCTTGACAGACGCTGCCCGCTCCCCCTTTCCCTCCCCCTACTTCTTAATCCAACTCCTTTCTTGTGACTCATCTCCCTTTCACAAACCCCTCTCTCCCCTCCCGCCTGCCTTGCCTGCCTTCCATCCGGGCACTCACTTCCGCCAGGCTTTTCCTTTCGGCGCTCACCCAAGTCTTCTTCGAACCGCTTCCGGGCCCCATCCCTCGTTCACCCTCAGCCACGAGTGAGGGCATCGGCGCGCCTTAGCGGCTTCAGCGTGCCAAGAGGCTTGCGCGTGCGCACACAGGAGACCCCTGTGCGCGAGAGAGACGGGAGGGGGGGGGGGAAAGTGTTGAGTTTACGTCCCGCCGTCTCCTTCCTTCGATTCCCCGGCCCGTCTGCCGTCAGGGCGCGCACAAGGGAGGGGGGAGGAGGGGTGGGTGGGTAAACGAGCGCGTGCGCAGAAAGCCGCCAGTCGCGCGCCGACTACCCTGACAGGAGCGGAGCGAGCGTGAGGAGAGCAAGGCGGCGACCAAAAAAAAAAAAAAAAAAAAAAGGGAGTGGGGGGTGGGAAAGAGATTTCGCGAGGCGGGGCGGGCGCCTCCCTTCATCCCGCCATGAGTGCCTGAGGGAAGGGAGAGAGAGAGAGAGGCAAGGGAAGAGAGGCAGCATGGAGAACCAGGGAGCCGGCGGTGAGGAACCGCCGGGTAAGATGAACCCTAGGCGGGGCGGTGTCGGAGGCGGCGGCTGGCGCGCCCCTGAGGATGAGAGTAAGAACAAGCCCAAGCTGGTGAGTGAGGAGGTGGGGGGGGGGGCGCGCAGGGCTGACCGGGGCTTAAGGCGGCTGCCGTTGCGGGGGGTGGAGGGTGTTATGTGGTCGAGGGGGCAGCTCGCAGCACACCCGGCCTGGCCTGGCCCGGCCTTTTTAAAAACGGAGGGCGGGTGGGATGGGGGTTAGGGGTTAATGTGTTGGGGGGCGTTTCAGGCGAGAGTTTTTAAAAACCCTAGAAGCTCGCGGGGAGCACCGTTGCTTCTGTTTCGTCAGCCGCCTCGCGCGAGGGCCTCTAGGCGACGTGCAGTAAAACAACAACAACAAACAAACAAACAAACCCCAATTTCAGTAACCATAAACGACCAAAGGGTTCCGACTAGGGCGGGGGGGGGATCCTGCGAAGCTGGACTAAAAGACATTTCTCTGGTTGCTGCTGCTAAAGGGGCAGTTACTGGGGTGGGCTGGGAAGTTTGCGATCTGCTGTGCATGTGTGTGGAAGTGGAGGGGAGAATGCGTTGAATAGGTTTGCTTAGGGGTGGAGCATTTTTCATAGGCCCTGCTCCTGTGACATCCTGCACAGAGGCTTGGGTTGTCAGCTGTCTCTAGAGGCTTTGCCCTTGTGCCCTACAGGGGTTTTGAGGCAAGGCAGCAATGGGTTCATTAAGGCTCTTGTGGCATGGAGGTGGACTGGGTTTTCCTTTTGGCTTTTATGGATCAAGTGACTATTAAAGGCACAGCTGCTGGGGTTGTTTGAAATGTTGGTAATCCTTGAGGTGGCCAGAAGAGTGCCTTTAATAGGCTTCCTTAATAGCTATGTGTGTTTGGGGTGAGGTGGGAAATTAAGGGTCAGCTGCTTTACTTAGCTCATCTCTTGTGCTTTTCACTGAGGCTTGACTTTACTATTTTGTTTGTTTTTGTTCATTGTTACCTGGTTCTTCCTCCTACACATTTTCATAACAGGTCACATAGAATCATGGAATTGTAGAGTTCGAAGGTATCCCGAAGGTCATCCAGTCCAACACTCTGCAATGCAGGAATCCTGCCCACAGCTGTCTCTGGGTGGCCTCAAACCACCAAACTTCTGGTTAACAACAGCCAGATGCACTATGGTTGAAGGATAGTTGTGAGTGGCATGGCTTGGTAGGATTTGAACTTTGATCTCCCTGGTGCCAAATCAACATGCTTAACTCCTATACCAGACTTCCTCAAATTCGGCCCTCCAGATGTTTTTTGGCCTACAACTCCCATGATTCCTAGCTAGCAGCATTAGTGGTCAGGGATGATGGGAATTGTAGTCTCAAAACATCTGGAGGGCCGAGTTTGAGGAAACTTGTCCTATACCATCCTACTATCCTGACTCTAAATTCTTTCAGCTGTGGCTTTTCACAGAAGATTGGTTATCAACTGCAGTGACTGGCCATGTTATTATGACTTTCCACCGAAGTTTGAGATGCAGAAAGCAGCAGGTGATGCTTTTCATGGTACAGAGATGGAAACTCTGATTTGCTCCTTGTTGCAGGCCAGACTACTGTTAGGAGCAGCTTTAAGTACTGTTTGAAAAGTTGGCAGCCCTTTGAAGGCAGAAAGAGGGAGAGTGCCTGAGCTTGTTATTTTTTTAAGAGAATCTAGGTAGGCTCTTACATGTTGGCAACTTTTTACTGGCCTAGTTCCTTTGACTTGAACAGCACCACAATAAAACACACACAAAGTGTTAGTGCTTTGTTAGTGCTTGAGTGCTGGACTCAAATGCCCACTCAGCCATGAAGCTCACTGGGTGTAATTGGGCTAGTCACTAGCTCTAAGTCTAACCTACCTCACAGGGTTCTTGTGGGCATTAAATGTGGAGGGTTGGAACTATGCACACAACCTTGAGTTCCTTGGAGAAAAGGTAGAATATAAAGTCAGCAAATAAACAAATGAAATACAGTGGTACCTTGGGTTACAGACACTTCAGGTTACAGACTCCACCAACCCAGAAATAGTACCTCGGGTTAAGAACGTTCCTTCAGGATGAGAACAGAAATTGTGTGGCTGCGGCGGGAGGCCCCATTAGCTAAAGTGGTACCTCGGGTTAATAACAGTTTCAGGTTAAGAACGGACCTCCAGAACGAATTAAGTTCTTAACCCAAGGTACCACTGTAATTTAAACAGGCAGAAAAACAAACAAGTGGTGGTGTGGCATTATTTGAAACTGACAAATACTTTTGTAGTATGAACTACAGTGGTACCTCGGGTTAAGTACTTAATTCGTTCCGGAGGTCTGTTGTTAACCTGAAACTGTTCTTAACCTGAAGACCACTTTAGCTATTGCGGCCTCCTGCTGCTGCCGCGCCGCCGGAGCACGATTTCTGTTCTCATCCTGAAGCAAAGTTCTTAACCTGAAGCACTATTTCTGGGTTAGCGGAGTCTGTAACCTGAAGCGTATGTAACCCAAGGTACCACTGTACAGGATTAAATTACTCCATTGCTCTTCGTATCAGTAGTAGAAAAATCCTCACTTGCTACATTTCTGCATTCTAGACTACTGTTAAAAACACATGAAGAAAGCCAGTAAAAAGTTGCTTCCCCTGGGCCTTCAGATAATTAAATAAATGAAGGAGGAGGAGGAGGATAGGTGTGGGCCAGATAGCAAGATAGGGTTGGTAGTAGATACTCAACAGATAAACCTTTCACTGCCCCCAATATGCAGTGATTGGAAATCACTTCATTTCATATTGGAAATCTGTTGCTTCTCTACTAGTATGCAGCTGTTGATGGCACTGTGAAAAAGAAGACAGCAACCATATCCAAAGAGTTGTCCATTTCTTTTGGTCTTAGCAATGTTCTAAATCTTGAAGAACCATATGACAAGACTTTAATAGTTTCATATTTTCCCTTATTTGCATCTCCAGACTTGGAAGAGCCACACCTGTTAGGTTTCTGCTGGTTTCACAACTACTACATATACTTTGCCAGGGAGTGGGATGGCACCCTTGTTCTCAGGTAGTGTGGTGTTGGCTTGGTGTCAAGTTCTTCTGAGGTGGACGGGGTATCCCATCTCTTTTGGAATGTTCTGGGGTTATGGTGGTTTTGGTTTTTCCATAGTGGATTATGATGAAATTATGCAGTGGAGCGATGAGCGACTTTTGAAACAAGCAAGAATTGCCCTTCACTGGCTAGTTTGGAGTCAGACTTCTGGTTCCCCAATGTATGGAGAAATGCCAAGTGGAGCCAGTCATAGGTTGCAGTTGGTAGTGTGAGGCTGGCATGGTGTCTGCGTGGTGACATTCCATTGAATGATGCCTTGTAGTATTTACTTTGGATTATTTTACACTGAATCAAACTCTTGTTCACATAATCTTCGAAAGTCCATTCTGAGTGCAGTTCTTATAAAGATATTATCCATATTGCTACCCAAAATCTTATTAGTGGAAGATACCTGGGCTTGAACATAGGCTATTCTTTACATGTTTCATTGTTTAAAGTGTAAATTTAGTTTAATGGTGTTTCATATGTCACTTTTTTTCCTTCTGGTTCATCATTGACACGTTCCAAGCTATGGTTTATTATGCATATGGACACTGTTCATAATTTATGCTATTTTCATGGATTTTTGCCAGGAATTCTATAGTTGGGTATCAGATGTGACATATGAAGCAACTCTTAGAAGAGATACTAATAAATGTGGTAGGAACCCTTGACCATTTTCTCCTTCCAGCAGAAATGAATAGTAAATTAGCTTCTCTCAGCCTTGATTAAGACTCGCAGCATAATCCTATGCAGAGATACACATAATTTTGCATAGGATTGTGCTGACAAATGGAGCTGATTTAGAGATGGCAATTTTAAGTGTAGCTGGCCTGAAAAATATGCATGAGCAATACTGGACCTGGAATAGCTTCTGTGTTGACCATTTAGCATTTAAGGATGGGGTGTGACAGAAAAATACAAAGCACTCTTACCTGGCTTTGACAATGGTATGCCATGTTTAACTATTTTTGTGTGTGTTTGCGGCAGTGTTAGAAACTCAGATATATAAGCTAGGGTCCAAATGGCTCCTTAAGTCAAGGTTACAGAGAATATCTAGTTGCTATTTTGGGGCAAGACGGCTCTAAGGCCTTATTTTTCAAATGATCGACTGACTGTGATTGATTATCAGTTAAGCATCTGGCTAGTTCAGATGACAACCTCGAGCAAGGTAAAGAGCTTTGACAACTTTAAGAAGAAAAGTCACTTGATCCAGGGACAGTCCACATATATATTGGCCTGTTTCTACCACTTTTTCTTAATGGTGACATGGACCATTCATAATGTAAGAATATTCTTCACAACTGTGAGCAAGGCAGTAGGGTGGGGTAAGTGAAGACAAGCAACAATTAACTATAACATTGTTCACTGCTCCTGCTCAGGCTGCACAAAAAATAATGGTTTCTGAAATTTAATCTGATTGTGCAGATAAAATCTAAGTGAGCGAATTCTGGAAGATGTGGTATTAGTGTGTGAAAACAGTCAAGATCCAGTGATCCCCAGGCATGCACCTCTAGATTGTGGAGATGTCAGGCATCTTCACTTGGTTGCAAGTGGCAAATAGCCAGGTGCAAAATGCACCTGGTACCTGACTAATTTTGAACACTGGTTTGGGGACACCATGTTTTGGCACTAAACTCAGAACAAGCTCAACAGTGTCTGTATGCTGGTGCTAAGGATGTGCAAGGCTTGGGATCTAAGGGACCCAATCTTGATTTTCACTTTGTGAGTAATGTTTTGGTTTTTTGGATGTGGTATATTACCCACATATACAGCTGCCTCTTCCTGCAATTGACTACAACTAACAGTAACCACCTGTGGGTCAACAATTGTAACAGGAAATCTTCTGTAGCTGTGTTTTTAACAATATGATTCAATTTTCAAATATGAGTGATGCTATTTGCATCAGAAAAATGTGATACAAAGCTTGTTTGCATTCAGGTATAATCTAAGCCAGTTTTGGATATAATATTTTCCCTCCCCATATGCCACAGAACAACACTGTCTTAGGA